GAATAAGGAAATTCCCAGCAATATGTTCTCGAAATGCACTTTACTATTGATCTAGGAATGTCTGCACGCCCCATCCCTCTCTGAAAACTCTATCCTAGTTCATATTTCATCTGTTCACGCTCAGCATTATTCTTAAATTTTAATTATTACATTTGGCCCAGCCATAGGTTTTAAACGTCGTTGTGTTACCGCTATTGTTTATTGTTTATTTTTTGTTATGAGTTTTATTTTATTGTCTGTATTAATTGTTGCTATTGCTTTTATCATTGATGTATTGTGGGCTTGGCCTCATGTAAGCCGCACCGAGTCCTTCAGGAGATGGTAGCGGGGTATAAATAAAGATGATGATGATGATGATGATGATTATTATTATTATTATTATTATCTACAGCTCCCAAAAGACAAACTGTTAATTGAAAAACTTGCATACAAATAATAACCAGTATAATTATAATAATATAGTTGGGGTTTTTTTGGATGATTTTTATTGAGTTTTACAAGGTATACATTAAAACAACATTTAGAAAGTGAATAAAAGCAACTAGGAGAATACTAATTAGAAAAAAACAAAAACAAATATACAGACGCGTAACCACCCAAATATCCAACCCAAAAAGAGAAAAGAAAAAAAAACTACACCCTATAGTGACCTCCATTCTTCTTACTTTGTTCTAATCTCTATGTTACAATTCTTTCTCTATCTGTTATTCTTCCCTCTTTGATGTTTCTATATGTCTTATGAGAAAGTTTTCGCTGTAGGTTTTCTATCTCTCTTTTTTAATTAAGTCAACCAGTCTTTTCTCTATATATATTCTTGCAAAACCGACCAGTCTGTTGGGTTTGTTGCTCGACCATTATGTTGCCTAAGCCAATATGTTAACTCGTCCATATCCTTAATGTCTTTTATTTTCCCAATCCAGTCTGTTTTAGTTGGTATTTTCTCTAGCTTCCATATCTTAGCGTACACCATTCTTGCAGCTGTGGTAAAGAAGGTGAGAAGCTTTCCCTTATTTTTGTCCTTAAGGAGATCTGTCTCAAACATCCCTAATAGATATAATTCTGGTTTTTGAGGAAATTCTATTTTTAGTATTTTTTTGCATTCTGTGTGAATCATTTTCCAATAAGTCTTTGCCTTTTCACATGACCACCACATGTGGTATAGAATCATAGAATCAAAGAGTTGGAAGAGACCTCATGGGCCATCCAGTCCAACCCCATTCTGCCAAGAAGCAGGAATATTGCTTTCAAATCACCCCTGACAGATGGCCATCCAGCCTCTGCTTAAAAGCTTCCAAAGAAGGAGCCTCCACCACACTCCGGGGCAGAGAGTTCCACTGCTGAACGGCTCTCACAGTCAGGAAGTTCTTCCTCGTGTTCAGATGGAATCTCCTCTCTTGAAGTTTGGCGTCCTAGTCTCCAGCGAAGCAGAAAACAAGCTTGCTCCCTCCTCCTCCCTGTGGCTTCCTCTCACATATTTATACATGGCTATCATATCTCCTCTCAGCCTTCTCTTCTTCAGGCTAAACATGCCCAGCTCCTTAAGCCGCTCCGCATAGGGCTTGTTCTCCAGACCCTTGATCATTTTAGTCGCCCTCCTCTGGACACATTCCAGCTTGTCAATATCTCTCTTGAATTGTGGTGCCCAGAATTGGACACAATATTCCAGGTGTGGTCTAACCAAAGCAGAATAGAGGGTAGCATGACTTCCCTAGATCTAGACACTATGCTTCCTATTGATGCAGGCCAAAATCCCATTGGCTTTTTTTGCCGCCACATCACATTGTTGGCTCATGTTTAACTTGTTGTCCACGAGGACTCCAAGATCTTTTTCACACGTACTGCTCTTCAGCCAGGCATCCCCCATTCTGTATCTTTGCATTTCGTTTTTCCTGCCAAAGTGGAGTAGAAAGATCCCTCATGGTTCTTACATTTCCAACAGTTTTTATTCATTTGTTTATACATTAATCCTAATTTCTGTGGCGTCATATACCACCTATGCATCATTTTAACCAGTTTTCCTGTAAGTCTGAGGCGTATGTATATTTTATCCTTTTTTCCCAAATTTCTTCCCATTCCTTTAATAAAATTGTCCTTCCAATATTCCTAGCCCATTTAATCGAGTCTATAATAATATAGTTAAAATACATCAATTAAACAAAAGATTTTACAAATACATATATTAAAAAAAGAACAAAAATTAAACACTAATCCAATGTAAATATAAAAGCCATAGTTTTAATGGGTGTATATGTGATATAAGTCATGTATAGGAAAATTACTGACTTTACAAATTGTATAAATATATATCACTTTAAAACATTAATAAACATAAATTAAAAACCATGCCTTGGGTCTACATATACCCCTGGGCAGCACTTTCCCTATGGCTTTGCCATGATTAGATGGAACCAAGGCTGAAAGGGATGGGAGGAGGATTTGGATGGAAACAGCTCATGTCTCAATGCAATTTGTTTTCATTTGCAATATGCATTGGGAGCCAAGACCACAGCAAGCAAATGGTGGTTGTCTGTTTGTGCTTGGAGAGACCTCTCTCTCAGATTTGCTACGTTTGTGGCCTGGAGACACAGGAAATCCGTTGAAGCGACAGCAGCTCCATAATGAACGGGTGCAGAGCTCAATGACGTTGGCTCGTTTTTTGGAGAAAGAAGTGAAAGGAATGCTTCAGGCTCTCTTGATCTCCCGATATTGAGACATTGCTACGTCTGTTTGCTAATGCAAACTACGATTGACATGTAAGTTCCATTCATGTCCATCAAGAGCCAGCATGATGTGGCTGGCCATCTCTCGGGAGTGCTTTGATTGTGGGCCCTTCCAGACAGCCATATAATCCAGAATATCAAGGCAGATAAGCCACGATATCTTCTTTGAACCGGATTTTCTGAGTCCACATTACCATATAATTTTGTACAGTTGTGTAGAAGGGGTCTGTATCTTCCTGCAGAGTTGGATTCTATGGTAATTTGAGTCTTGGGCTAGGATTCCAGGACGGAGGGTGCATCTACACTGTAGAATTAACTCAGTTTGAGTTACAGTATAGAATCCTAGGAGTTGTAGTTTGATGAGGCACCAGAGAAGACCTCGAAACTCTCATTATTCTGAAGCATTGAGCCATGGCAGTTAAAGTGATGTCAAACTACATTAATTCTACAGTGTAGATACACCCCATGTTTCTGCTCAGCCATGGCTTTTATCAGAGGGTTCCAAATACGAGGGTTGAATGAAAAGTAATGCCTCCACTTTCATTACTTGGGTTTGGATGGAAATATTTTAATAAATCAAACACAGAAATGATCCTTAGAATGTGCTCTTTAACTACCACTATTCACTTTTCTACATAATCACTAGACAATTGGATACATTTCTGCCAACGATGAACAAGTTTTCTGAATTGTAGGTTTTTTCAGGCTATATGGCCATGTTCTAGAGGCATTCTCTCCTGACGTTTCGCCTGCATCTATGGCAAGCATCCTCAGAGGTAGTGAGGTCTGTTGGAACTAGGAAAAAGGGTTTATATATCTGTGAAATGACCAGGGTGGGACAAATGACACTTGTCTGCTGGAGCTAGGTGTGACTGTTTCAACTGACCACCTTGATTAGCATATAATGGCCCGACAGTGCCTGGAGCAAACTTATGTTGAGAGGTGATTAGATGTCCTTGTTTGTTTCCTCTCTGTTGTTGTGCTGTTGTAATTTTAGAGTTTTTTAATACTAGTAGCCAGATTTTGTTCATTTTCATGGTTTCATGATCCTTAGAATGTGCTCTTTAACTACCACTATTCACTTTTCCCCATAATCACCAGACAATTGGATACATTTCTGCCAACGATGGACAAGTTTTCTGAAGCCATCACAGAAGAAGTCGACACTCTGTTTCTGCAACCCATCCTGCACAGAGAGTGTTTCCGCAACCCATCGTGCACAGATCTTCTGATAGTCAAGTAAAGCAATAATGTGACCCACACGTTCTTGTGAAATGCCAATTATGCTTGAAATTTCTCTCTGAGTGATACGATGATCGTCCTAAATCAATCTGTCAGTCGTTTGCTTGTGAAACTCGGTAGTTGCTGTCACAGGATGTCCACCTCTTTGTTTGTCATGCAAGTCAGATGTTCCCACCTCAACATCTTTAAACTTACTCGCCCAACGACACACAGTACCCACATCAACGCAATCACCATAAACAGCTTGCATTCTCTGATTAATCTCCTTTGGGGTGATACCTTCTGCTGTCAAGAATTCAACTGCTTAAGTCACATTGATCGACCGTCTGCGCAGGGTTCCATACTTCGCACTTTAACAACACAACCATTTAATGCTGAGGCTTTCCACCAAAATGGAACTGTAGAGGAGAGTCTACTGAACAAGCCAGCACCTCCCACATACCAGTACCGCCATCTGTACGCCGCTTCACAAGTACACCTGGCGGGGATGAGAGACAGGGCCTTCTCAGTGGTGGCCTCTCGGCTGTGGAACGCCCTTCCTACAGATATCAGATCGGCCCCCTCCCTATTGGCATTCCGGAGGAGAGTGAAGACCTGGATGTTCGAACAGGCATTCAATCAAGCAGTATAATTGAGTGTAACTGACTATTGGAACACAGAATAATGGATAATGAAATTGGATTATGATTTTTTTGATGAGATGTGATGGATTTGTTATATTGATATATTGGTGTCTAATTATTTGCTATGCTACTGTTTTTAAGTGTCCAATGATTTCCTATTGTGCATACTGAATTATTGTTGTTAACCGCTCTGAGTCGCCTTAGGGCTGAGAAGAGCGGTATACAAATAAAGTAAATAAATATACAAATAAAGTAAATAAATCTGTTTGAGGAGTTATGAAGGTGGAGGCATTACTTTTCATTCAACCCTCGTAAAAATAGACGAATGCTTCTCAGGGACACTTTACTGATGGATATACCCATATACCCGTGGTTATTATGACTTTAATTTGTTTTTGTGTTTTTTTCCTTGCAGCATCCTTGCAAATTGTGTTGGGAAAGGAGATCCCGTTGATGGCTGCAGAGGCTGAAGAAGGGATGCGTGGGAGCATCTTCTCCATCTTCATTGCTGCGTGGCTCTTTGCTGTTACTGTATGTTTCTTGGTTTTGTGTACTGTCTGCCAAAGGTAGGTGCCAGACAACTCTCCTCCCAATAAGCTGTAGTAGTAGTAGTAGTAGTAATTTATGCCCCCCTTTTTTCTCTTGATCGAGACCCGATGTGGACATTAGCAAGCATGAATCAGGCCTTGTTGATTCCAACCGTGCCGTGTTTATTCTTCATTTGTTACGAGTACTTGCTCATAATAGCTTTGCATATATAGGACTGTCATGCTGATATTTTCTTGTATTGATGGGGCCTGCTGGAGGAAACTCTGCTTATTTAAGATGTCTTTGTGTGCATCTACACTGAGGAATGAATGCATTTTGACCCCACTTTAATTGCAAAGGCTCAATGCAATGGGAGCCTGGGTTTTGTAGTTTGGTGAGGCACCAGCACTCTTTGACAGGGAAGGCTAAACTCCTTGTAAACCAACAGCTCCCAGGTTTTCATAGCCTTGAGCCATTGTAGTGAAAGTGGTGTCAAACTGCATTAACTCTACAGTGTAGACGCACCCTGGTAGATTTACTGGGCAGCTGTAACTGAGCAGCAAGTGGAAGAAGATCACACAACATATGGCAATGAATTGACCCGGACTGGTTTTTGGATTTCGATTTTAATGGATGTGTCTTAATTAATTGTTTTAATTGTTGTTTTAATTTTTAATATTTTGATTGTACTGTGGTTGTTTTTATGATGCTAGCATCGTATGATGCTTTTGTTAGGCCGCCCTGAGTCCCCCTTCGGGGGGAGAAGGGCGAGGTATACGACTCCATCTCTGTTTACCTCTCCGAACGTATTCTCCCCTATGAACCATCAAGATTATTAAGATCATCTGGAGAGGCCCTGCTCTCGGTCCCACCGGCCTCGCAAGCGCGTCTGGTGGGGACGAGGGACAGGGCCTTCTCGGTGGTGGCCCCTCGACTCTGGAACTCTCTCCCACTGGAGATCAGAACCGCCCTGTCTATCCTGACATTTAGGAAACAGGTGAAGACTTGGTTATGGAGACAGGCATTCGACGAGTGAGCCAACACCCTGAGATATGGATGGAGGATGATGAACAACGATTTTAGTGTGACGACTGACCATTGTAGTTATTGAATGTAATTGCTGTTTTAATGTTTTATTGTAATATGAATTATGATGTTTTATTGACTGTATGTGATATTATGGTTGGAAACCGGTCTGAGTCCCTCAGGAGAGGTGAGAAGGTCGATATACAAAACTTTTAAATAAATAATAAAAAAATAAATTAATCTAGCTCCAGCAGAAAAGAGTCCTTTGTCTCACCCTGGTCATTCCACAGATATATAAACCCCTTTTCCTAGTTCCAACAGATCTCACTACCTCTGAGGATGCTTGCCATAGATGCAGGTGAAACGTCAGGAGAAAATGCCTCTAGACCATGGCCATATAGCCCGAAAAAACCTACAACAACCCAGTGATTCCGGCCATTAAAGCCTTCAACAATACAATACATAAATAAATTATAAAATCAGTGGAACTGCATTATATGATCAGTGTATGTAGACTGGGGGCCCTTCTATACTGCCATATAATCCAGATTATCAAAGCAGGTAATCTGGATTTTATATGGCAGTGTAGAAGGGGCCTCCTATAATGCTGTTTAACTGCATTGAATGGCATTATCCAGGTCACTGGCCATACTGCATTATATGGCAATGGGTTGGGACTGCACCAAGATATTTTAGCAACCATCCTTTCCTGAATTTAAGATAATTATTTTCTTAATTAAAATAAAAACTTCTTGTCATTAGTGTTGATACAGTGCCTTCAAACGTAGATGGCAAAACAACTCACACCAGTGAGTCCTGCCAATGTAATACAATTTAAAGTATATGTGTATATGCAGGAGGAAGAATAACAAAACAAAATTGCAGCACAATCCAATTGCAAAACAAATCATTCAGATGAAATGCAAAGCAAACAGGACAATTCAAAGCTAAATAGGCAAAACTGTAACAAAATTTCAGTTGTAATTTCTTGGAGGGTTTTCCATATTGTTCCTGAGATAGAATGCTACTTTTTGTTAAGTTCAGCCTGTGATTGTGTTTCAGGATCAGGGTGCTTTGGATGTGGGAAGTGATGTCAATGAATTTCAAGATGGCAATGGTTTGGTCAATGATACTGATGCAGAGAAGGACCAGGAGACCCCTGTGCAAAGTGTAGTTTCCCATGAGAATGTCCCTGGAGGGTGTGGGGATGATAGTGTACTCCCTGAATTGCTACCAGAGAGTTCCCAGGATTTGGGGCTTGAAAACAACTAGGTGCCTGTCCCAGCTGCAAGACTTAATGAGCAAATAGATAGGTGGCAGGAGATTAGTCAAAACAGGCAAACCTAACAGTGGCTTTGGTGGTCAGCCAGAATCCGACAGAAAAGTATAAGGGAATCTCTATTAAAGTGAAATCAATTTCTGAGTGCTTGGAATAGCTTAACAGGGGGATAAAAGTTCCAAGTATGGGAAATATAGTCAGATGAAGCATCGTTTGGAATCAAGGGAAATTCTTGTTCTTGTTCATGGAAGCCTTGCTGGGAAGATTCTTGTCTAAGTATTTCTTGTTTAATGATTTGGATTCTTGGATTGTATGAATGCCTACTCATGCCTTGGATTAATGTTTCCTGGTTTGCTGAATTATATTAGAGAAGTGTGGACTTTTTATGGACTTTGCTGAACTTTACCCTGGACTATTTTTGCTTCTACTTATGTTCTTACTTATTTCTTTAAAGTGCTTTTTTACTTGCTGCTTTTAAACTATCTTCAATAAAAGGATTGTTTTCCAATCAACGGTGTGGTGTTTATAATCAGAGGGCTTTTCCTGTCCTGGAGTGCAACACTTTTTTTGTTTGCACTACTCTTGCACTAAAAGTGCATCTACACTGTAAAATTAATGCAGTTTGACACCACTTACAGCTTAATGCTATAAATCCTGAGAGTTATAATTTCACAAGTCTTCCCTGTCAAAGAGTGCAGGTGCCTCAACAAACTACAAATCCCAAACGTCTATATCAGGCATGGGCAAACTTTGGCCCTCTAGATGTTTTGGACTCCAACTCCCACAATTCCTAACAGCCTACTGGCTGTTAGGAATTGTGGGAGTTGAAGTTCAAAACGCTTGGAGGGCCGAAGTTTGCCCATGCCTGTTCTATATACTTGAGCCACCGTCAGCTGGGAGGAAGCAGGAATTACTCATTTATTGATTTATTGCCTTACTCTGAATGGTTTATTGTTTTACGAGCTGGAATGTGCGGTAGGTTATCAAGTTACTATTAACTATTACAGAAAGAGAGAGTAGCAAACATTAACTTAACCAGCTCTTCCAAATGGGGCAAATGTTACCATGTTTCATGCTGGAATTCTTGATTTGTGTTTCAAAAATCCAAACAATGTTTTGTTGTCCAGTGCTATTTTTTGCTGGTACCCAGCACCAGCTGCAACATTTTATTCCCAACCACATTTCAGGAACTTAATGGAACAAAAAAAATGTTTCTTCCTCCATTAAAATTTGCTTTTCCACCAGAATACTTTTAACCTTGACCCCTTCTACACTGCCATATAAAATCCAAATTATCTGATTTGCACTGGATTATATGGCAGTGTAGACTCATATCATCCAGTTCAAAGCAGATAATGTGGATTAGCTAGTTTGATAATCTGTATAGAAAGAGCCTGAATATGATTTCAATATATTAAGATGCACTTTTACTCAAACTTTTATTTTAATAAGAGTTCTTAAATTGACTTCAGATAAAGATACAAGTTGATGAATTAATTTTACTGTTTGCTGATTCATTCCATCAGTTTTTTGTCATTTCAGGAAAAACAGAACTCCTGCTCCAGATGGTGAATTGCTAGCTGAAGCAGTGAGTATTGCCTCTTACTAATGATTGGAAGCCTAGTCATTTACAACCAAGTATGGGGTCTGAGGAAGATTAGATTTATTGGAGGTTACAAAATGCTACCCACATAGTACTAAAGATGGATATTATGCATGGAAATGGGCTCCCCAATGTTTCAATACTTAGGCGATCTCTCGTTTTCCGAGTAGGATTATCTTCCAAGATCGGTGTCCTGGCGGTGGGTCCGTAGGTGACTGTGGAGCCCTGTTCTTGATCTGCATCTTCTCCCGCAGTGAAGGCATTGGTTTCCAGGTGGAAGGCCATCCCGGTCAGGGTTGACTTGATGCACCTTCCTCTTGGCACGCTTCTCTCTTTCGCCCCCCATTCGTGCCTCTTCTAATTCTGCAGCACTGCTGGTCACAGCTGACCTCCAGCTGGAGCGCTCAAGGGCCAGGGCTTCCCAGTTCTCAGTGTCTTTGCCACAGTTTTTAAGGTTGGCTTTGAGCCCATTGTTCTGTTGCGTGCTGGGCCTGTAAAGAATTTCCTTTAAAATAGGACATGCAACCTTTGCCCAGCGGGAAGCCAGGGCCCCCCAAAGAGAAGTTCTCGGGAATTTTCCACCACAAATGCACTTTAGATGGCTTGTGAAGTATAACAAAGTCCTTTATTAACAAGCAATCAAACAGAAACTTCTCTTGTCTTCAGTAAAGTTAAACAAATGCTTCCAGGCTTTATGCAACTGGTGGCTTCCTAATCTTGCCCACGAAGGACAGGCAATTGTCTTTAATAACTGTTTCTTTACTTTAAAGGAAAATCCCTTTTTAACTTCTCCCAGGCTGACTGTAATCTAATTCTTACTGATGTGGGCTCCGCTACCGGGTCAAACTGCGTCTCGAGCACCAAGTGGACCTACCAGTAAGGCCAGTAGATTCTCCAGCTGGAGTTCTTTGGTCTTCCAAACTGTTTGCCCTCCAAAAACTTTGGAGATCTTAAGACTGTTCTCCCCTGGAAAGTCTTAAGGGTTGAAGCTTTTGTACAGGAGAAGCTTGTATACGTCCTGTACATTAGCTTTCCTTACTGAGACTAACTAAAAAATGGCTCCCTTCCCTTCCCAATTGCCCTGAGCAAGGGGCGGAACCATGACTTAACAATGATGGACAGGTGACTTGCCCTACAACTGCAACCAAAGGAAGCCACCTATCTGCAGAGTCCCTGAAATCTAGGACTGCAAGCAAACATTTAATACAAAGCAAATAAAGTTGGAGCTCCTGGTACAGCCGTACCAGCACACCCATCTTTAAATCTCTTCTCATGTCCTCCAACATTCCGTTTTCCATTCTTGAGTTCGGAGTAGAGCAACTGCTTTGGGAGACGGTGGTCGGGCATCCAGACAACATGGTCGGTCCAGCGGAGTTGATGGCGGAGGAGCATCGCTTCAATGCTGGTGGTCTCTGCTTCTTCCAGCACGCTGACATTTGTCCGCTTGTCTTTCCAAGAGATTTGCAGGATTTTTTGGAGGCAACGCTGATGGAATCATTCCAGGAGTCCCATGTGACGTCTGTAGTTAGTCCACATTTCGCAGGCATATAGCAGACTTGGGAGGACAATAGCTTTATAAACAAGCACCTTGGTATCCCTACGGATGTCCTGGTCCTCAAAAACTCTCTGCTTCATTCAGAAAAAAGCTGCACTCGCAGAGCTCAGGCGGTGTTGTATTTCAGTGTCAATGTTGACTTTTGTGGAGAGGTGGCTGCCAAGGGAGCAGAAATGGTCCACATTTTCTAATGTTACACAATTAAGCTGTATTTCTGGCATTGGAGAGGGATTGCCTGGTGACTGCTGGAAGAGCACTTTGGTTTTCTCAATGTTCAGTGATAGGCCGAGCTTCTCGTATGCTTCTGCGAAGGTGTTTAGAATGTATTGTAGGTCTTCTGAATGTGCACAGACGACATTGTCATCAGCATATTGGAGTTCTATAACAGCTTTTGTAACCTTGGTTTTGGCTTTCAGTCTGCAATGTTTCAATAACTGTAGAATTGTAAGATATTCCCAAAGCCATCTAGTCCAACCCCAATCTGCCAGGCAGGAATCCACAATCCAAGGCAAAGACAATTGTCCAAGCAATGTTTTTGTTTTTTGACAGACGGAGCGCTCGTCCCTCAGAGGATCAGTCACAAATGTGCAGAAACTCAACAGGACAAATTCCAGAACAAAGAGTAAGTTGTGGTGTGTTGAGATATGGTATATTGGTCTACTTATGTGGCATGGTCTCCCCCAGCTTATAAAACTGGATTTACATTGCCATATAATGCAGTTCAAACTGCATTATACCAACATGTTTATGTTTTCGGTTCTTGTTGCTCCAAGGGTACTATTGTGGAAAGGAGTAACAGAGTAATATCATACCCTCTTTGGATCAGATTCCCTTTCTCTTACATTCACTGCCTCTTTTCCATGCAGACCTTAGTCCAGCCACTATTAGTATCCCTTGCGACGATGACGGGACCGTCTCCAGTTGCAGCTTCATCATCCTTCCCCAGAGAGAGCTGCCACGGCCTCCTTCAGCCGATCCTCTGTCCCCGGAGCAGACCTACTCCAACCTGACCTTCCTAAAGCAATCCCAGGAAGCCTTGTATGAAACGGTGGCAGTGAAGGGAGACAAAGAGGAAGAGCCCAACCACGTTGCAGAGGAGGCAGTTGCTGGAAAGAGCCCAGTGGACCACGAAACAGCAGATGGGTACGCCAAGGTCCGGAAAGGGAAGAAAAAGAAGACAGTCGCCGAGCTGGAGATGAGGACCAAACCGACTGTACAGGAGTCAGGCCCAACAGTGACGGCATCGACCCCTACAACACTGAAGGTATAAAACAGCTCTATTTTTGTGTTGATGTGGGTTTTTTAACCTACATGGCCATGTTCTAGAAGCATTCTCTCCTGATGTTTCGCCCACATTTATGGCAGGCATCCTCAGAGGTAGTGAGGTCTGTTGGAAACTAGAAAAAATGGGTTTATATATCTGCGGAAAGTCCAGTGTGGGAGAAAGAACTCTTGACTGTTGGAGCTAGGTGTGAATGTTTCAATTGGCCACCTTGATTAGCATTTGATGGCCTGACAGTTTTTAGGTGTGACTTGTTACTGCCTGGGAGAATCCTTTGATTAGAGGTGATTAGCTATCCCTGATTGTTTCCTCTCTGGAGTTGTGCTGTCACACGCTGGGCCTATAATAATTGCCTTTTGAACAGGACATGCTCTTTGTGCCCAGCAGGAAGCTGGGTTGCCTTGTTGAGGGGACCTAAGGATTTTCCTATACAAAAGTCTTTAGATGCTTGAAAAGTTTAACAAAGTCCTTTATTATTGCTTAGATCTTCAACAATCAAATGCTTCTTCGATCTTTATCAAATCAAACAAATGCTTCTTAACTTGTCTACAATGGACAGGCACCTTGTTTGGAGAAATGTTTCTGTCCTTTATAAGGAAACCCCTTTTTAACCCCTCTCTGCCAATCTGCTTTCTATGCTTGCCGGTGTGGGCTCCACTCCCGGCTCCAATTGCTTCTGGTCACCCGAGTAGATCTACCAGTCAAGGCTCTGTAGATTCTGTAGATTCTCCAGCTGGAGTTCTTTTGGATCTTTTCCACGAAAGATGTGGAGCTGTTTTCCCCGGATGCTTTAGGGCTGTTTCCCCCGGATGTTTCTGTTTCCCTTGGATGCTGTGAGAAATGAAGCTTGTCTACAGATTGAGCTGATCCACGTCTTGTAGCTAAGCTTTCCAATATAAGACTGACTAAAATGGTTCCCTTTCCCTCCCAGAGCCCTGGATAAAGGGGCGGAACCAAAACTTAACAATGATAGACAGGTCATTGGCCCTATAATTGCAAACCAAGGGAAGTCACCTTACTGCAAATGCATGGAACCTTGGAATATATGCAAACACTCAATAGAAAGAGAATGCAGCTGAAGCTCCTGGTACAGCCATACCAGCACAGGAGTTCCCCTGTTTTTGAGTGTTGTTCTTTATTTACTGTTACGATAATAGGTCGCCATGTTCTAGAGGCATTCTCTCTTGACGTTTTGCCTGCATCTATGGCAAGCATCCTCAGAGGTAGTGAGGTCTGTTGGAAGTAGGAAAATGGGTTTATCTATCTGTGGAATGACCAGGGTGGGACAAAGGACTCTTGTCTGTTGGAGCTAGGTGTGAATGTTTCAATTGGCCACCTTGATTAGTATTTGATGGCCTGGCAGTGCCTGGGGCAATCTTTTGTTGAGAGGTGATTAGATGTCCTTGTTTGTTTCCTCTCTGGTGTTTTGCTGATGTAATTTTAGAGTTTTTAAAAACTGGTAGCCAGATTTTGTTCATGTTAATGGTTTCCTCCTTTCTGTTGAAATTGTCCACATGCTTGTGTATTTCAATGGCTTCTCTGTGTAGTCTGACATGGTGGTTGTGAGAGTGGTCCAGCATTTCGGTGTTCTCAAATAATATCCTGTGTCCAGGTTGGTTCATCAGGTGCTCTGCTATGGCTGACTTCTCAGGTTGAGTTCGTCTGCAGTGCCTTTCGTGTTCCTTGATTCTTGCTCTATTTTTCTGTCCTCAACAGATAAATTCTCCCAGTTCTGTTGGTATCAAAGTGTCTGTGAGTGCATGCCTTCCAAGTTGAATTTCATGGGGCAGGGAATATTGGGGGGTATTTGCTTAATGCTTTGCCATTTGGAATATACCTGTATTTACTTGAGTCCAAGGCGGCATCGAATCTAATGAGCACCTCAGTTTTCAAAACCCTGAAACCAAACAAAGTATTTGCTGTTGAATGTAATGTGTGTTACGCAGCGCGTGTTTTAATCCAGCGTCCTAATGCCCAAAAACACAGATGCAAAATAATCTCAGACCAATAGTCTTAACTTTGCAGAGATGAAACAAAACTGGCAATGCAGCACACAAAAATCAGCAGTGCAACACATTTACACAGTCTTTGTAATATGCATAAAATAAAGCATCTTTTTTGGTCTGCTCGCCCAGCATTTTCTGGCATTTTTCTTTTTAAGGGTGTCTTAAAATAACCAAAGATAACTTTTTGGAATCTCAGAAATTATTTTCTCACTGACTTTTCTAATGGCTTTTTTTGGTTGGTTTGCCCGGCGTTTTCTGGCATTTTTCCTTTTAGGGGTGTCTTAAAATACCTAAAATAACTTTTTGGAGTCTCAGAAATTATTTTCTCACTGCGTTTTCTAATGGCTTTTTTTTGGTTGGATCGCCTGGCATTTTCTGGCATTTTTCCTTTTAGAGGTGTATTAAAATACCCTAAAATAATTTTTTTGGAATCTCAGAAATTATTTTCTCACTGACTTTGCTATTGGCTTTTTTTGAAGATTCGTAAACTTTCTCCTTTTGGGGTTGGACCGCCTGGCATTTTTTGGCATTTTTCCTTTTAGGGGTGCCTTAAAATAACCCTTAAATAACTTTTTGGAATCTCAGAAATTGTTTTCTCACTGCTTTTCTAATGGATTTTTTTGGTTGGATCACCCAGCATTTTCTGGCACCTCAGAAATTATTTTCTCACTGCCTTTTCTAATGGCCTTTTTTTGAAGATTCGTAAACTTTCTCTGTTTTTGGTCAGATCGCCCAGCATTTTCTGGCATTTTTCCTTTTATGGGTGCCTTAAAATACCCTAAAATAACTTTTTGGAATCTCAGACATTATTTTCTCACTGTGTTTTCTAATTTCCTTTTTTGGTCGGATTACTTGGCATTTTCTGGCATTTTTCCTTTTAGAAGTGTATTAAAATACCCTAAAATATTTTTTTTGGAATCTCAGAAATTATTTTCTCACTGACTTTTCTAATGGAAATTATGTTTCCATTGCCTTTTCTAATGACTTTTTTGAAGTTTTGTAAACTTTCTCCTTTTTTGGTTGGCTTGCCCGGCATTTTCTGGCATTTTTCCTTTTAGGGATGCCTTAAAATACCTAAAATAACTTTTTGGAATCTCAGAAATTATTTTCTCACTGACTTTTCTAATGGATCTTTTTGGTTGGATCGCCTGGCATTTTCTGACACCTCGGAAATTATTTTCTCACTGCCTTTTCTAATGGCCTTTTTTTGAAGATTCATAAACTTTCTCTGTTTTTGGTCGGATCACCCGGCATTTTCTGGCATTTTTCTTTTTGTCTTAAAATACCCTAAAATAACTTTTTGGAATCTCAGAAATTATTTTCTTACTGCCTTTTCTAATGGCCTTTTCTGAAGATTTGTAAACTTTCTCCTTTTTGGGTTGGATCGCCCAGCATTTTCTGGCATTTTTCCTTTTAGGGATGCCCTAAAATATCCTAAAATAACTTTTTGGAATCTCAGAAATTATTTTCTCACTGACTTTTCTAATGGTTTTTTTTTTGGTTGGATCGCCCGGCATTTTCTGGCACCTCAGAAATTATTTTCTCACTGCCTTTTCTAATGGCTTTTTTTGAAGATTCGTAAACTTTCTCTGTTTTTAGTTGGATCGCCCAGCATTTTCTGGCATTTTTCCTTTTAGGAGTGTCTTAAAATACTCTAAAATAATTTTTTTGGAATCTCAGAAATTATTTTCTCACTGCCTTTTCTAATGGCCTCTTTGTCAGATTGCCCAGCATTTTCTGGGATCTCAGAAATTATTTTCTCACTGCCTATTCTAATGGCCTTTTTTTTTTTTGAAAATTCGTAAACTTTCTCCTTTTTTGCTTGGATCATCCGGTATTTTCTGGCATTTTTCCTTTTAGAGGTGTATTAAAATACCCTAAAATATTTTTTTGGAATCTCAGAAATTATTTTCTCACTGCCTTTTCTAATTGCTTTTTTTGGTCAGATTGCCTGGCATTTTCTGGGATCTCAGGAATTATTTTCTCACTGCTTTTTTTCTAATTGCTTTTTTTGAATGTTCATAAACTTTCTCTGTTTTTAGTCAGATTGCCCAGCATTTTCTGGCATTTTTCCTTTTAGGGGTATCTTAAAATACCCTAAAATATTTTTTTGGAATCTCAGAAATTATTTTCTCACTGACTTTTTTAATGGATGTTTTTGGTTGGGTCACCCGACATTTTCTGGCACCTCAGAAATTATTTTCTCACTGCCTTTTCTAATGGCCATTTTTTTGAAGATTCGTAAACTTTCTCCTTTTTTGGTTGGATTGCCCGGCATTTTCTGGCCTTTTTCCTTTTAGGGGTGCCTTAAAATACCCTAAAATAACTTTTTGGAATCTCAGACATTATTTTCTCACTGCTTTTTCTATTGCCCTATTTTGGTTGGATTGCCCGGCATTTTCTGGCATTTTTCCTTTTAGGGATGCCTTAAAATACCCTAAAATAATTTTTTGGGATCTCAGAATTTATTTTCTCATTGCCTTTTCTAATGACCTTTTTTTGGTCGGATCGGCCGGCACTTTCTGGCACCTCAGAAATTATTTTCTCACTGACTTTTCTAATGGCTTATTTTGAAGATTCGTAAACTTCCTTTGTTTATGGTAGGATCTTCCAGCATTTTCTGGCATTTTTCCTTTTAGGGATGCCTTAAAATACCCTAAAACAACTTTTTGGAATCTCAGAAATTATTTTCTCACTCCCTTTTCTAATTGCCTTTTTTTTTGTTGGATCGCCCGGCATTTTCTTGCATCTCAGAAATTATTTTCATACTGCCTTTTCTAATGGCCTTTTTTTCCCCATCTGCAGTTGGAGGAAATGTATGCAGTGGTGTGCAAGGACAACAAAAAGAAGAAGAAGGCCAAGGCCAAGAATGGGGTCGTTGTTGGCACAAATGGAGGACCCCAAGTGGAGAGGAGCCACATGGAGCCTGTTCCTCAGGCATCCGAAGGGATGGAAGGGCACCAGTCCTCATTGTTTCAGCCCCACTTGATTGAACCCTGCTATGCCTCCATTAGCAGCGAATCCAGGGCTGATGTCGGCGAGAAGGAAAGCGAAGAACCCGCCTATGAGACTGTGGAAACGCATTGGAAAAGGCCACGGAAAAAGGGGAAGTCGAAGAGCAAAGCTGCCGCCGCCGCCACAGAAAACTTGTACGAAAGCATCGAAAACTTGGCCTTTCAGATCTAAAACTGAAGAAGAGCATCTGACTTTGAAGTCTGGAAGAATGTTTTCCACCATCTCTTCAATGGGATATTTCTTCATTGGTGAAAAAATAGATGAACTATGTGCAAAATATTAGGACAGTGTTTCTCAACCTTCCTAATGCCGCGACCCCTTAATACAGTTTCT